GCAATTCTCACTTTACTTTTCTATACATGGTCCCATTATTATCAAGCTACACTATTTCCTTGGTGAGCCACAAGTGTCTCACATTTGTCCAGTCCTATCCAGTCATTTGCTGAGACTATAATTAGAAGGGTCCTGTAAGTACCAGTCATGCATTCCTATGGTCAACCTCTTCTTCAGTCATGCAAACCTATGGTCAACCTCTTCTTGCTTTATGTCTGCTCGTATCCTAATAACCGAAGCAACTGAAATGGCCTAACCTAGGGTCAAAGAGGAGCAGGAGTCTTCTTTGCCTTGAGTGGGAGGAAGTTCACAGTCACAAGGCAAAGAACATGGCTTTAGGGTGCGATGTAGAATTGGGGCCAATCATTCAATAAGCTTTTTCTTCACATCTATATGCTAGACATTCTGAAACCATTGTTTTAAGCTTATACAGGTCTTTCTGCTGTTGATCTATATATCTGTAACATCCTATGTAGCTATTTTGTGGGTGATAATGTTTAGAATGCTTTCCCCAAAATTCTACACTTCTACTTTTTCTGCCTACAATTATCTTATTTTTTTGTAATTAAAAATATTTTAAAGCACCTATTGATACTTTGTTTAAGCATATGGTATGATAATAGATTTTGTTAATATATGTAAAACTCTACCATCCAGGAAATGGATGAAGGAGACACATGTTTTATTCACATTTTGAAGACAAGAAACATGTATAGTGAATATAGGGAGTATTGACTATAGGTAGTAAAGTGTGTAATTGTGAAAAATAAGTTCAGCTCTTTCTTCAAAGACTTTAAAGTTGGTAGGGTACAATGCCAACAGACATTCAACTATAGAACACTCTAATTCAGAAGGAAAAATAAAGAAAAGAAACAGAACACAATAGCTTCCTGGGAGAGGAGAGAGGATGTTAGGGAAATCACAAAATGTTCCTGAGGAGCTTGTATTATGGATTATCCTTAAAGAACAGTCACACTCACAGATTTATTCTCATCTTAGTGCTTCCTGGTTTGCTTCTAAATGGAAGAAAAATTGGCCAAACGATGATAGCTGAGAATGCAGACTGATTGATTTGCTTCAAGAGGAATCTCCCCGTCATTCCTTTTAGCTGCCAGTAACCTTAACAGCAAGATGTCCAAAAGGTCAAAGGAGTAGAGAGCTCTTGCCTCATGACGACTGGGGAATGCGGACTTGAAATTAACCACACTTTGATTCAGTTCAAAAATGTGTATGTGTACATAGAATTTGTAAAATTGGAAGGGGGATACTATTAAGCTGTTCGACTTTGCTTCAAGTTGTGTTTTACTGTTTTTCAACTTGATGAGGGTTTAACAATTACTTTCCTTGTTTTTGAACAGAGTCAAGCATTTCGTGTTGCTTTTTCCATCTGCAAACGACCACATTTTGCATATATGTTTGAACTGCTGACGTGACCGTACAGTAAAGTATATTAAGCCAAGTACGTAACACTGCCTTAATCTGAGGGTAGTACCATTCAAGGAGGTTCTGAACCTGTGGGTCGCCACCCCTTTGGGGGGTTGAAAACCCTTTCACATGGGTCGCCCGATTCATAACAGTAGCAAAATGAGTTATGAAGTAGCAATGAAAATAACTTTATGGTTGGAAGTCCCCACAACATGAGGAACTGTATTAAAGGGTGGCAGCATTAGGAAGGTTGAGAACCACTGCTCTAAGTGCAAGTCAAATTGACAAATGTGTTTGACTGTCAAATTGTAATACCCATCTGTTTACTTAACTATGAGTCCCTCCATGGCACATATGCTTAAGCACTCAACTACTGACCCCAAATTGGTGATTTGATCCCATCTAATGTGTAGTGGTTATGCTCTGGGCTGCTAACTTGAAGGTCAGTAGTTCGAAACCACCAGATTCTCATCAGGAGAAAGAAGAGGCTTTCTAAATCTGTCAAGAGTCACAGTCTCAGAAACCCCCAGAGGCAGTTCTGCCCTGTCCTGTGGGGTCACTGTGAGTCACAACTGACACAAAGGTGGAGTGTTTAGTGTGGTTTTCAGTGTTGAGTCAGAAAATAGGTCCCGTCATCTGCTTCGAAAAGGTCACAGTGTTGAAAATCCGACTAAGCTGTTGTACTCAGCACACACTGCATAACCCGGGGAACTGCCTGGAGGGTAACTAAAAGCAACCACAAAAACATCTATGTCGTTGGGATGATTTTAAAATGGTCACGATGTATTCGTACTCTCCTCAGTTTCACAAGACATCGACAATTTAGTGAGATGTGGTAAAGGCGGACAAAACTAAATCCACAGTAGTAATATACATTCGTTTGAAAAAGGCCATCAGTGAATCATTCCACAGGGCATCAGGCATCTCGAATAAGGATCCCTGGTGGCACAGTGGGTGAGCATTGGCTGCTACTCACAAGGCCAACTGTTTGAAACCACCAGCTGCTCCAGGAGAAAATAAGGCTTTCAATTCCAGGAGAGATTTATAGTCTCAGAAACATGTGGGGGCTGTTCTACTTTACGGTTCTACTATAGGCTGTCTATAGGGTCGCTGTGAATCAGAATTGACTTAATAGCAGTGAGGCTTTGTTTACGTGTGTGTAGATATGTGTGTGTGTGTGTGTGTGTGTGTATATATATATATATATGAATGCCTTTGTAATGATTGGACATTTATTGGCTTCAATTTGCTGTGAGGAGTAAGGAAGTACATGTATAATATTCACAGGAACTTGAGCAAATCTAGAAGAAGAAGAAAATAAGGAAACATGTACACTTCTCCATTCTAAAGAGAAGGAAGCAGTGGTGACATCATACACACACTAAAAATCTAGCCTGTTTCAATTAATTAGATAATAGAATGTCAAATAATTAGGCAACAGAATTCCTTCTCTGGGGGGTAATGACGTAACTAGGATGATGAATTATAAATATATTTTCAGTTTTTATTATTCCTTTTGTTCCTTTATCCAACAAACATTTCTTAAGAACCTATTACGTAGTCGATTCTGGAGCTATATTGGTGAAGGGAAAGATATAATTTCCTGTCTTCAAGAAATTTGGAATTGAGTTGGGGAGAGAAATCAAAATTAAAGAATGGTAAGTGACTATAAAATTATAGCTCTACTAACCACTAAAACAGCGAGGCACGTGCTACCAAGATGATTTATAAGAAAGGATCTGCTTAGAGAGGTCAAGGAAAGCTTGCCCATGAAGGAAGTTAGGATTTCACACGGATGACCAAGAGTTGAAGGAGAAAAGAGGAAGGGAAGGAGTGATTAAGGGAGGGCTGGTGTGGAAGGGAAACAGGTCATGTTCAAGGAATTTAGCGAAGGGTCTTAGCATACAAGGGGGAAGAGTGGAATACAAGTTTATAGCAAAGGTTAGGGATAAAAGGCCTGTTAAAGAAGTTACTTTATATCTCTTCTCTTTATCTAAGAGCAGTGAAAAACCATTAATATATATTCATCTCACAGTTGGTACATTCAGGTTTTGAAATATTAACCCTAGCTATGGTTTGAGGAACTAACTGAAAAGGCCCAGATGGCCTTAAAGAAAAGGGTTAGGAGACTTCTACTTAAGTCCATGTAAGGCATGGCAGTGGCACAAGAAGACTGGTAGCATAGGATGTAGAGTTGGGTTTAAACTTCATTTCCCTCCATTCTTGAAGTAGCTCCAGCTTTGGCAAGACTGTTGGTGGCCAAGACGATGCCCTGTTCACTTGATTTCATGGTCCTCCCTGCATCTTAAAATGAGAATGGGGAAGCGGCATTCTCCCAGAAGGCCAAGCGGCAGCTCCAGTGCTGAGTGGGGCAACAATGATGACAAGATTTCAAGTGCCAGAATAGAACTATCCTATTCAATATGCTACCAGGGCACTTGTGAAAGGGAAAAGGGATTCTATTCATAACAACCGACCGAACAGACGGAGCAGACTCATCTTAGACAAACTGGGTTGCCCTCGAAAGAAAGGAAGAGTTTACCCTCTTTTGCTCCCTCTGTTACTCCTTTTTTGCAGACGAGAGGACATTATGGGGATGCAAACTTAGCTGGTTAGCTTACTCCAAGGCTACTCTTAGTTTTGCCATGTTCTGTTGTATCCGAAAGACCGTGAAGAAAACACGTCTCGATGTTCTGTGATGGCTGATCATTTACCATTGCTTGGGAAGAGGCCACTCCCTCCGGAGCCTCCATCCTCAAAGTGAGTACCACCACCCACTTTCTCCTTAGAGATGCAGAAGCTTAGGCCCTGCCCTAGGCCTGCTGAACCCAAATCTCAATTTAACAAGATTCCCAGGGGACCCAGCTGCTCAAAGAGGATTAAGAACATTGCCGAACTTGAACTTTGCCTTGTAGTAAGACCAACATTTCACAGAGTTACCAGGCACACGTACCACGTACGTGCACAATTGTGGAGCTGATGTGCAAATACTTGCTGAACCTCACACGTCGTAGTTCTGCCTGCAGGGAAGCTTGGGGAGAGCAGCATTCCTGCGTCCTGGAGGAGGGCCTGGGGGCCCAGAGAGCCCTTCACTCAAGGCCTGGGAGGAGCTGCTCTCTGGGCTATAAGACCCACAGCCTCGCCAGAACCGACGACTGGGAGGGAAGCAGAGGCTGAGGTCCTGCCCAGCTGTGGGTGAGGAGTTTCCTGTTCCCCCCGCGGCGCCCGGGCGAGGTGGAGTGAG